CTGGATGAGTTTTCGATGTCATTTATGTGTGTGTGTGTGTGTGTGTGTGTGTGTGTGTGTGTGTGTGTGTGTGTGTGTGTGTGTGTGTGTGTGTGTGTGTGTGTGTGTGTGTGTGTACTCACCTAGTTGTACTCACCTAGTTGTGTCTGCAGGATCGAGCATTGACTCTTGGATCCCGCCTTTCAAGCATCGGTTGTTTACAGCAATGACTCCTGTCCCATTTCCCTATCATACCTAGTTTTAAAATTATGAATAGTATTTGCTTCCACAACCTGTTCCTGAAGTGCATTCCATTTTCCCACTACTCTCACGCTAAAAGAAAACTTCCTAACATCTCTGTGACTCATCTGAGTTTCAAGCTTCCATCCATGTCCCCTCGTTCAGTTACTATTCCGTGTGAACATATCGTCTATGTCCACTCTGTCAATCCCTCTGAGTATCTTATACGTTCCTATCATGTCCCCCCTCTCCCTTCTTCTTTCTAGTGTGTGTGTGTGTGTGTGTGTGTGTGTGTGTGTGTGTGTGTGTGTTCTGAAAGCGGCAACACATTGTAACCAAATAAACTAAATATAACATATATATATATGTATATATATATATATATATATATATATATATATATATATATATATATATATATATATATTATACCACCACTGGTATTTATAGGGACCCACAGCCTATACTTATTTAACTCTGAATACGAAAGAGTGTTCACTTCTCCTACCACCCCCCTTTTTTTTTTTTTTTTTTTTTTTTTTTTTTTTTTTTTTTTTTTTATAGGTGTATATATATATATGTATATATGGTGTATATATGGTATATATATAGTATAGTATAGGTTCTTAGATTTTAAAAACGCTTTCAACTCGGTCAAAAGGGAAGCAATCCTCACTGCAGTCCAGGAACATTGCCCAAGCATTCTCCCGTTTGTGTCAGCAGGCTACAGCAAAGACTCAACCCTCCTGTTTGGCAAACATGAAGTCACCTCAGCAGAGGGAATTCAACAGGGTGACCCACTTGCACCGTTCCTCTTTTGCATAGCGGTTCGAGAAATTACAACCAGACTGTCCAGCGAGCTCAACATCTGGTTCCTGGATGACGGCACTCTGGCAGGCACACAAGATTCCCTGCTAGAAGACTTACAGCTGGTGAAGACACGGGGGGAGTCCATGGGTCTCGTTCTTAGCCCCTCCAAGTGCGAAATTATTGCATCTTGTGAAGTAATCATTAGAGCAGTGAAATCAGTTCTACCAGAAGCCTCAGTCGTTAAACCTACCGACAGCACACTACTCGGAGCACCTCTGGGCCACAATGCCATTGCTGCAGTCCTTGACGAAAAGTTTAGAGACCTAAAGAGGATGGAAGAGAGAATTGGGGACTTGGACTCCCACGATGCCCTCTACCTTCTCACAAAGTGCCTTACCCTGCCCAGGCTAACATACTTCTTAAGGTGTGCACCAACTTTTGGCAACCCACTTCTAAATCAATATGATGAGCTCCTCAGGTCAATATTCAGGAAGGCGCTCAACCTAGATTTAGATGACAGTCAGTGGGACCAAGCAACACTACCAGTGAGATTTGGAGGGATAGGCATACGAAAGGCAACTGAGGTAGCACTTCCAGCATTCTTATCCTCATGTACAGCAGCCAACGAATTGGTAGGGCAGATCCTACCAGAGCGTATGAGAGAGACAGCGGGAACTCGTGATCAAACGTTCATCGAAGCAGCCAGACAATGGGACACCATTGCACACCCTCAACCCCGACCACAAGTCCCAAAAGACCACAAGCAGGCCCACTGGGATAGCCCCATAATGGAAAAGACTGTCACAGCAATGATTGACAACGCTGATGCTGAAAACAAAGCCCGCCTCCTAGCGGTAACAGCACCCCACGCCGGGGATTTTTTATTTGCTGTGCCCAATGCAGCCCTGGGAACTCGCCTCAGTCATGACGCTCTCCGCATTGGAGTTGCCCTTCGCCTTGCCGCCCCCATCCTCACCGAACATAGGTGCATCTGCGGAACTGCGATGGCAGACCAATATGGTCGTCATGGTCTGGTATGTCGTAAATCACAGGGTAAAATTGCAAGACATGAAGAAGTCAACGACATCATCAAGAGGAGCCTCGCCACAGCCCGCTGCCCGGCACAAAGAGAACCACACTTATCCAGACCTAACGACCCTCAGAAGCGCCCTGATGGGGTCACCTTGCTACCTTGGAAGGATGGTAAGCAAGTGGTATGGGACTACACGTGCGCTGCCACACTGGCCAGTACCTACCTCCACTACAGCACACGTGAAAGCGGTGGTGCTGCTTCTTTCAGGGAATCGCAGAAAATTATTAAATACAGAGGTCTAGCACACTGCTACAGCTTTGTTCCGATCGGCTCGGAGACCCTCGGTTCGTGGGGAAAATGTGCATTGAAGTTCCTGAAGGAATTGGGGGACAAATTGATCAGCGCTACAAAAGACCAGAGAGCAAAAAGTTTCTTGTTCCAGCGCCTCAGTGTTGCGATTCAGAGAGGAAATGCCTGTTGCGTCTTGGGCACGAGTCCAACTTCAGAGGAATTCGAAGAAGTGTTTTGACTTGCAACAATGATCGAACCCGTCTGTGACATTCATCAATGTTTCCCATTGTTGTGTTCTTCAAGAGATCCATAACCTTTAAGCACCTTTTTGCATTATTATTTTTGTATCAAACCATGTATATCTTGTAACCATCAAATGCATAATAAAGCACAAAAATATTCAAGGAAGGGGGTGGTAGGAGAAAAGCACACAGAAACTGTATTGGAGGGGATCTAAACATTCCCTCTAATGCGTTATGCGTGGTTTCCTCCGAGGCTATGGGTCCCCTTCTTCCAGCTAGAGGTGGTACTCCCTTCTATTTAAAAAAAAAAAAAAAAAAAAGTATAGTATAGGTGTATATATATATATGTATATATGGTGTATATATGGTATATATGGTGATGTATATATGTGATACAAAGGGTATATATATATATATATATATATATATATATATATATATATATATATATATATATATATATATATATATATATATATATATATATATATATATATATATATATATGTCGTACCTAGTAGCCAGAACGCACTTCTCAGCCTACTATGCAAGGCCCGATTTGCCTAATAAGCCAAGTTTTCATGAATTAATATATTTTCTCAAACCGAACCTTTTTTCTTATGAACTGATAAAGCTACCCACCTCATTATGTATGAGGTCATTTTTTTTTTATTAGAGTTAAAGTTAGGTTAGATCATATGACCGAACCTAATTTTAACTACCAACCTGAAAACTAACCTATCTTTATAGGCTAGGTTAGGTTAGGTACCCGAAAAAAGTTAGGTTAGGTTAGGTTAAATAGGTTAGGCAGAAAAAACAATTAATTCATGAAAACTTGGCTTATTAGGCAAATTGGGCCTTGCATAGTAGGCTGAGAAGTGCGTTCTGGCTACTAGGTACGACATATATATATATATATATATATATATATATATATATATATATATATATATATATATATATATATATATATATATATATATATATATATACACACACACTTCCTCAAGTCTCGTGAGTTTAGCAAACAACAGAGATGAGTTACAAGTAAAATACAGCACTCTAGAGAATGCTGAACCCTCCAGACGGTGAGAAAGTTCAACATTAATATTAGTATGGACTTGAAGCAGCTGCTTCTTCGGCATAACAAATACCTGTAAGTATGATGAACAACTTAAATGCCGAGACACAAACTAATTCAGAGAATGCATCCCTTTCCGCAATATTAAGAAGTCGTCTCACATATATTTCAGAGATGCTGAACGTTACATTAGCACAATAAAACATTGGTCTTCTGAGGGCAAGACTGCAGTAGGAAAAAATTCACTAGTTATGATATGCAAAATAGATTGTTTCACTATAGTTAACACCCTGATCATTTTTTTTTTTCGTAATGAAAATGATATCGAGTACATTATTTCCATGTGGAAAATAGACTCTATTTCCTGATCGATTGGATTGATGCAGGGATTTCAATATAGTTTAACGCTTTGTTAAACATTCCATTGTAAGTTTAGACCATGACGTGTAACGAGTGATGAACGGTGAAGGCTCAACGTAGCTGGACTAAAGAGTGAGGTGGACATATTATAACCAAAGAAAAGGCTATATTAATGTGTACTGTAGTTAATGAAGTTCTGTATTATCCTGTGTCTCATAGACACAGTCTATGTCTTACGTTAATGGTGTTAAAGATTGTCAATTCTAAGGCGTGGGGAGGGGGGGGGGAGGGAGGGGAAGGTTTGCTGAAGACCATACTATGTTGCATATAGAGACACAGTTCAAGCACTGCAGTGCACGATGCAGTCTGTGCATCGGGGCCATTAGAGGGGGTCGTAGAGCCTGGTTGCATGGTGAACCTTCACCAGTATTGCATGTTTGGCTCGTGCCATTTCTTGATGTTATCATTAGTGCTTTGCAGAGGGATACATCATGTGTTGTATTGTGGGGGATACAGCGAGTGTTATATAGTGGGATACAGCAATGTTGTATGGCTGTACTCACCTAGTTGTGCTTGCGGGGGTTGAGCTCTGGCTCTTTGTATTTGGTGTGATACAGCATGTGTTTCAGGGTCGGATACAGCAAGTGGGATACAGTGGGATACAGCAAATGTTGTCTGACACAAACTCATAAAAAATATTGTCTGTAAATATTAGCTTTCAAGTTATGACCTGACAAACAGAACTTTTAGCACATGTTCCCTAGTAAAAAAAAACCCAATTACAATGAGATATATATGTAATTGAGTAAACATACGCGAGCAACTGGACAAATTAACATCAATAGAAAACCCGTCAAAGTGTATTTATGTCACTGATCATTTGCATATGACATTGTCATTGCCTCTGTCAAGTCATTGCCTGACTGACTGACTTGCATGCAATATATAGAGTAGTTCCGCTTACCTGTTCACAAGAGTAGATGCGATCCTTAGGCGGCGTTGTTGCTTTCAACAAGCGAATTAGGCGTTACGTTCAAGCAGGCTGTAGTGTCAGGCAGCCAGTGTTTACAGCTTACATTACACTAACAACAGGTGTTCTCATTCCCCGCTTTCTTTCCATGATAATCATATTTCCATTTCCACCTTTTTTTAATTAGCAAATTAGTTGATTCTAAATCTAACACAACACTTAGATTTTTATTAATATTCACATTATTTTAAGACGGATATCTTTCACTCAACAAAATAAATCGTTTTAAGCATGACTGCTGTTCAACGACGCTACGCAATTAAACTGTGAACACACAGTAGTTTTATTGTTAGATAAAGCCAGTAATGGGAGATCTGTAGTCACTGTAATCTGAACTTCGAATGTCACTAGATTCTGACTGCCAGTAAAACTCAACTTTAACCGGATCGAGACGGATATTTGGCCAAAACTGAGAGCCACCAGTGGGCTCTAGGCTGTCAGTAAGGGGGAACTGTTTATCAGCGGGTGAGGAGGCCAGGCAGGAGTCCTGCCAGACGGTCCTTGACACGGCAAGAGGCGTGAACAAACGTCCAGCTGGGAACCTCGGGCCGCAACAGCTGGTGACGAGGGAGCGAGCGACGCGTACGCCTCCTGCCAGAGTCAGAGCAATACTGCCAGCTGTCGCCGCCAGCACCAGCCAGCCAGCCAGCCAGCCAGCCACACGCATTCGTCTGCTGCCCGCCTCTCTACCACCTTAAACAACCACAATTACCACCACTACCACTATCCCCATCACCTTCCCTGACCGCTAAGACAACACTGCCGATATCGCTTCCATCACCATCACCACTACAATCTCCACCACAACAATCCCTACCGCCAGGGCCTCCGGAACAGCGCTGCCCGACATTTCCATGACCCCCTTGGGGAAGCCGCCCCTACCTGCACCACCACCCCCCCGCACTTCCCTTCCCCCCCCCCCCCCAACCAACCAGCCACAACCACCATTGGTGGCTGTCCACTGTCTAGGCCATCTCCACTATAAAGACCACCTCTACTGTCAAGCCCACCCCGCTTCAAATGTCAAAGAGCGTCTGAAACTGTCAAGATCTCTTTTGACAGCGTCCCAACCACGATTTTTTTTGTTTACCTTTCACTTCCGCAATTGCTAAATTAACCATTGCCTTACCTGCCCCCTTGCACCACCACCACTGCTGCAACCACCCCCCCATTGCATCACCACTATCGTCCCCATAACTCCCCCCACCACAACACCAACCACAACTCCCATTACAACAATTATCACCAGACCTAAACTATCATCACCAGTATAACCTCTGTCAATAATATATCCTCTGGTATGCATGTATAGTGGTGTATGTTGGAAATAAACATACTCGGGGGTATATCTGGACATACCACTGTCGTCAGGTGAGGTAGCTTGTGTTCTTGATGAGTTGATAGTGGTTGTGATAGTGGTTGTGGTATTGGTGATGGTGATTGTGGCGATGGTGGTTGTGGTAATGAAACTAGCGTGATAGCGTGGATAACGCTAGTTACTACAGCTAGTTAGGCGCTCCACTTAAGTTTTTCTTTTCCCCCTCATATATATATATATCCTAATGTTATCTAGAAAATATAACTAGATAGAAAAGAGAATTCCCTGTCACACGAAAAGTCTTTCTCCATTATATTTCGTGACACGGTTTTCGCATCTAGAGAACCCTCTCGTTGTGTGGTGTTAATGTGGTGTTGCTGTGGTGTTGTGGTGTTCTTGATGTGGTGTTGATGTACTCACCTATTTGTGCTTGCGGGGGTTGAGCTCTGGCTCTTTGGTCCCGCCTCTCAACTGCCAATCAACTGGTGTACAGTTGGTGTTGATGTGGTGGTGGTGTTGTGTTGTTGTGGTGTTGTGTTGTTGTTGTTGTTGTTGTTGTGGTTGTGAGGGCAATGGTGGAGGGATGGACGCTCGCGGGTTCGAAGCATCGTCTGAACATGAAAATAATCATCAATATAGAGAAACTACAACAGAGTCAACTTTTCAAAATAGGAAAAACTGGTAAGTCTTTTTGGCACATCAAATTGGTTTTATAACATTAAGGAACAATAAATTTTCCAGGAGTTGAACCTGAGATGAATTACGGAAGAAATGAGTTTAGGGGTTGAGCTCTTACTTCCAATTAGTTGTTTGAACCCAAGTAAGGTACGGAAATTTTATGGAAGAGGCACTAAGTTAATGTGAACATACAGCATTCAACCCAAGCAAGTAAGAATTGTTTAAACAAGTTAGTCGAAAGAGTTTGCACTGTCTGGAAAATGCCCTACTAGTATCATAGTTGGTTGATACCTGGTTGATGGGGTTCTGGGAGTTCTTCTACTCCCCAAGCCCGGCCCGAGGCCAGACTTGACTTGTGAGAGTTTGGTCTACCATGCTGTTGCTTGGAACGGCCCGCAGGCCCACATACCCACCACAGCCCGGTGGGCCAGACTTGACTTGTGAGAGTTTGGTCTACCATGCTGTTGCTTGGAACGGCCCGCAGGCCCACATACCCACCACAGCCCGGTGGGCCAGACTTGACTTGTGAGAGTTTGGTCCACCATGCTGTTGCTTGGAGCGGCCCGCAGGCCCACATACCCACCACAGCCCGGTTGGTCCGGCTCTCCTTGAAGGAAACAATCTAGTTTCTTCTTGAAGATGTCCACGGTTGCTCATAGTCTGATGTTTGTTTATCTAACTCTCCATGACACATGAATAATCAATAACGTGTTCCGGATACTCCTTATCGTTCTTATCAATATAATGAATAAAATGGCGCCCAATGACGTCGTAGAAATAAATAATATCATAATTACTCTTAGTTGCTTTAATAATAAAGTAATACTAATATTAGTATTACTTTAATAAATAATACTAATGTTACTAATATTATTAGTAACTAAGAATATTAGTAACTTTAAGAATATATATATCAATCTCACCTTTCAAAAGAACGCAACAGTGCAACAGTGAAAGGAAATAGGAAACTTAGATGCCATTATTTGTGTTTCATGGATCGTATATCTCAATCACAAAACTTTAAGATGTTAGTTTCTTAACAACAAGTTTTTAGACAAATGAAATTGTCATGGGGGGAAGGCGACAGTACGTTGGGCAAAGACTTAAATTTCACTTTGGCTTTGCCTCAGCATTCAGTCACTAGGTCCAATGAGCTAAAGAGTATGAACTCCTCATCCCAGCGAGCCCAACCACTTGGGTTGGATGGTAGAGCGACGGTCTCGCTTCATGCAGGTCGGCGTTCAATCCCCGACCGTCCAAGTGGTTAGGCACCATTCCCCTTCCCCCCCCCCGTCCCATCCCAAATCTTTATCCTGATCCCTTCCATTGCTATCTAGTCGTAATGTCTTGGCGCTTTCTCCCCCCCAGATAATTCCTTACTTTATGCATGCTAGTCTTGATATCCATTTGCTTTTTCTTGTTTATTTTCTTAAAGATCACAGGTAGTTTGAATAGCAGTGTCACTCCACCTTCTCCCCCCCCCTTGTTATCTTATATTTATTGGGGGAACATGACACTCATTTCCAATCATTTTTATTGCCAATATTGATGCTATATTTGGACCCATCTCTCCAAGTCTCTTATAGTTACTGTGTATGTGTACGTGTGTGTGTGTGTGTGTGTGTGTGTGTGTGTGTGTGTGTGTGTGTGTGTGTGTGTGTGTGTGTGTGTGTGTGTGTGTGTGTGTGTGTGTGTGTGTGTGTGTGTGTGTGTGTGTGTGTGTGTGTGTGTGTGTGTGTGTGTGTGTGTGTGTGTGTGTGTGTGTGTGTGTGTGTGTGTGTGTGTGTGTGTGTGTGTGTGTGAGTGTGTCGTGTGTGTGTGTGTGTGTGTGTGTGTGTGTGTAGTGTGTGTGTGTGTGTGTGTGTGTGTGTGTGTGTGTGTGTGTGTGTGTGTTGTGTGTTGTGGTGTGTGTGTTGTGTGTGTTGGTGTATACCATTGTGTTTGCGGGGGTCGAGGTTCGGCTCTATGGTAATCATGTAAGGTAGTTTTTGGCCAACATATTATCCGTTTATGTATAGTGTATTCTCCACAGGGTTACTATGTGTATGAATGCGGGGGTTAAAAAAGGGTTAATACATGTCTACAGATGTTGAAGCGGCCTGATCCAAGCTCCTGGCACACCTTAAACATCTGACGACGCGGGTGTTAGGCTTGTAGTAGCAAAGACCTGTGACTCAATCCTGGTGTTTATGGTCTAGCTTGCGAATCGAGACAGGTAATCTTCTCCCGTAATTGATTTCAATTATTTTCATCCTGACAGAGTGGACTTCGGGCCTGTGCCCGAAGTCCACTCTGTGTTGCTCGATGTGTGTTGCTCTGTCCACTCTGTGTTGCTCTGTGTTGCTCGATGTGTGTTGCTCTGTCCACTCTGTGTTGCTCGTTGCCAGCCACCTCACGGGATTGTCTTATTTAAAGTCTTTGGTGAATGCATTTGAATTACGGGCTATTCATGCCCGTGCCACCTCTTGGGTGGCTTAATCTTCATCAATCAATCAATCTGCATTTGAAATAGTATCATTTTGTATACTGTCCTTACCATACATTGTATTACATTTCGTGTGTATAATATACAGGAAGTCAGGTGCTTAGACTTTTATGGTTAAGATGGAAAATTATTTTATTTATAAGGTAATGGAATAAAATTGCCATTCTGGATATTTTGCGACCGAAAACGATTGATATTTTGTTATGCATATCTTAAATTCATCGTAAGTTTCAACATTTCTTATGAGCTTAATAATCTATTTAATACTCTTGCTTAAATCGGCAAATACAACAGAACAATTCCTTTAGCAGGATATTATTATGGAATTTACATCGCAATTCAAATGACAGGTTCATTTACAGCAGATAAAAGAGCTCAATATATTTTCTCAACAGGGTATACTACTGACAGATCTTTAAATAAAATACGTCTGTGTAGCCACTTAATGAGGCAGCAGGTCTCCTTAGCAGATAACTAATAGAAAAAACACTCCAAGATATCTTCGTTACTCTGAGGCTCCTGGGGAGATATTCTCAGTAGTTTAATTAACAAGAAGTTATGTTAAGGACGCTATGTACCCGTCTCTCCCTGCAGCCTATATTAAGCAAGATTTAATGAGCTCAGTGTCTTCAGGTGTCTCTTGTGTAAACAAACATGATGAACACACTCACAATACACTCATCTGATACTGTCACGCACAAGATACACTTACTCAAGCTAGAGGAGCAAGCTGTCCTATCGGCAAGTGTCATAAGAGGGGGTGGGGGGGAATATCAGAGTCTCTCAGGAAGAGAATCAATGTTCTTGCTTTCATTCTCAGTGGCAGAGAGTATCTCCCAGGAAGAAAGCAAAGCGCCACAGTGAAAGTTGAATTAATAGAGTGGAAGGAGGTTACGAGTGGAGCATCAGAAGGGTCGGTCCTAGGCCCCAAATATGTCAGTAACTTGACAGAGATATTGTGGAATACCCAGAAGAACAGAGTATTCCAAGAGGGGATGCAATAGGGGGAAGAGAACAAGACAGGTCATGCAGGCGAGGAGTCACAATAACGTGGCTGAAATATTTTGACCAAACTCAAGTCGAAGAGCACAATCGACTTGAGAATGGTCCAGGACAGACCTAAATGTCGTCGTCC